ACCGACTCTCAACAGGATGTTTCCCCGATTACTACAATCTTAACCTATTCAAAGCTGGAGTAAACTGTTGTCTTTCACTCCTATACACCCAAATGGTCTCCAAACATAACCCTCTACCTCGAGTGGCTCCTGGGCCTTGTAAAGGATGAACCTCGCTGTGTAAAAAAAGAAAGGACGAAATTTGAACTTGGCTCGCCGATTTCATTTTACGCGCTATGCTGCCCGTAACTCCTACTGCTGATCATTACTGTTCTAAAAATTGAAAACGTTCCGCTAAAAATACACAAAGCGAGTGAAAAAGAGAGAAGGTGAGAGATAGGGGTGGAGGTGAGATCATTGAAGGAGGTTAAAGACGTTAGTTAAAAATGACCTTCGACCTAAGAAATAGTAAAATGAAGCCTTCGTCAGCCATTGAGTAAAGAACTAATGTCAGCATTCGTAGTCAGAGCAATCGTCACATTAACGATTTTTGTATCAGTTGCGAATCACATATTTTACAAGTACAAGATTCAACCAAAAAAAAAAAAAAAAATAGGGAAATACACTTGTCAGATCGAAACACTTTTTTCCGACCTCAAAATTATTTAAAAAGAAGAAATTTCTTCCTTTTTTTTCCTTTTTAATCATAAGTAACTATTCGTATTATTAATACACGCCCGATTCGTCCTAGGCTAACATTAAGAGTTGGATAGTTTAATTGTGGTACTGAATGAAATCGTGAAAGCTTTTTCTTTTCCCTCCGTCCTTGTTAAATGTTTGTTATTTCACTTTTTTTCTGTGTATTTTTCTCGCTTGTTCGATGCGGCATCTCGTGGTAAAATCGAGAAAAACGTTTTACTAACAATGGCAAGAAGAACTAAAATCGTTATTATCACAACAACCGACGCCCAAAATGGATTGTTTTTTTTTTAATCGATTTAGGTAAACAACTTAATCAGAGATCCAATCAACCGGACTTTAAATTAGTAGAGAGACAATTTGTTTTATAAGCAATTCAGGATTTTCACCAGTACTCGGGTCGCTTAATTTTAATTTAAACTTAAGTTTTTTAAATCGTTGCTTAATTTTTTTATACTTGAGTCGAATAAATATGTGTTGTGATGAAATGAATATCGACTCGGAATGAAAAATCGGAGAATCGAGTTCGAAATCCAGTCGAGGTCTTTATATTCACTTACATCAACCCAAGGGACAGGTATGAATCCACCCCTAAGACAGCTATTGGTTGAATAGCAGGCTGACAACCAATCTACTGCAAAAAGAAAGGCAGCCTACTGCGAGAAAATCTGCCTAGTCAGTCATGAATCTAAAGAGGCATGATCACCCAAGCGTGTATCGCGTATGGGTTGAATAGCAGGACAGACCGGGTCCTATAACCTTTGCTGGCAACCAGTCTACAGCTGAAAAAAAGGCAGTCTACTGCGGGAAAATCTTCTGCCTAATCAGTCATGAATCGAATGAGACATGATCACCCAAGCGTGTATTACGTATGACACTTACTTAACTGACTGATAAAGAGAAAAAAATCAAACATTTTAATTTAACTAGGAGAATTGGTAGAATTCTTGAATATAGTATAAAATAAATCTAATTTACTTTAATTTTACTTTTTCTTTTTCTTTTTCTTTTCTTTTTTTTTTTTTTTTTGAGTCACTTAAGCCATACTGACATCAGTATTTGAGCTTCTAAATATTTAGTATTTTTTATACCTTTTTACCTTAAGGGATCTTTTTCGAAACTTCACACTCAGTTCATTAGTCGTTCATCGTAATGACCTTAACCATAAATTTGACTTAAAGAAAACAGTTTCAAGTGAAAAAGGAAGTAATTTATAGAGGCGGAAGTGTATTAATTTCCGAGTCTTCCACAGTAATTTATATCCGAATTCACTGAGATTTTGTCAAATCTAAGTATAGTTGCTTACAAACGATTTGCTTATTTAAAATTACGTATCATTGTCCAACAAGGATACCTTTTGTAGCATTTTGTCTTACAAAGATATTCGTTTTGAAAAAGAAACCTATCGTGTAAAAATGAAGTTTATTAAAACACGTAACTATTAACACACACATCGTGCCATTCAGATTCAATAAAAGTATCTTGTCTTCCTATGGTGATTGATAAAATAGATCGGTCAAGAATAGAAAAGATATAAAATCTTGGATATTATTGCAGTTAATGTCGCGTCTATATATTAAATAACAGGGATCTCCAGCCACTCTAGAAAAAAGAAAACTTTGAATTAAAACCCATACTGCGTTCTGGGTATCTTCAAAGTAAGAAAAGTTAATTATACAGAAAACCGGATTAGAAAAATCTCTATGCCTTCTGCCCGGGCATTTTGTACTCTGCTATATCATTGTCTACTGAGAGGGAATCGATGCTAACTTAATTTTCAGGTGTTGTCGGCCGCTGCATAAAACTACCGAGCAAGACATTCAAATATGAGAAGTGACAATACATGTTTTTTATGCCTATCCATATTTGAATAACAGGAAGTGAAATTGATTTTTTTTTTGCTAACTGAATTATGGTAACATCGAAACATGATATTCTGAGTTACTTTTATCGTCTGTTTTACACGTATTTGATGAGAAAAACATATACACACACACACGCGCATACACAGAAACACACACACACACACACACACACACACACACATATATATATATATATATATATATATATATATATATATATATATATATATGAGATAACCATATATAAACTTTTGTATATCAAGAACAATAATGAGGAAAAATCTATGACAAAGTGTAAAAAAGTTTACGTGTTTCGTCCATTAGGAATTCATAACACTAAATTTGTTATTTGAAAGGTTTTATTGTTACACATATACATAACATTTTTTGTTTTCCTCCGTATATTTCTCTCCCTCCTTCAATTTCTTTCTTTTATTCTCTCCCTATCTCTCGATATATATATATATATATATATAAAAAAATATATGTTGTAGTGGTTCCAACGAGAAAAAGTATGTATATTAAAAAGAAGGGAGTGCCGCAAACGTTTTTTGTTTGTAATGTGGATTTATTGAGAAAAATATTATACTTTGTTTTACATAATTTCACGACACGTGTTTCTGAATCTGGTCTCGCAACCGTCTTCAACATGAAGAAAATTTTTTATTTTTATTAAAAATAAAAAATTTTTCTTCATGTTCAATGGTGGAATATTCTCGATAGAAACATTCTGTTTGTGTATGGCAATCAAATTTTCTTTATTTTTTTGTCAATTCTGAATTGTCATTATAACCAAAAAACGTTTGTGGCACCCCTTTTTTTTTAATATATATATATATATATATATATATATATATATAATTGCATATGTTTGGTTGAATGATCTAAACATATAATGTCTATTATATTTGAGTATAGCGACAAAGTTCTAAAATGTTGATAACAGCAAGGTCTTAAAATAGATAAAGACTACTTGTTAAAAACTACAATTAAAACAATATTTTAAAACACGTAATTACAATTTTTAATAAGAATTTACATAAATTACTTCCCTTATATAGCTTTTAATTTTTCGATTTTTACAGGGTTCATGCTCACACATGTTCATAGCTTATATTAATTCTTTGTCTTAGCAATTTAAACGTGAAGATGATCTTGGATGAGATTGAAAGTACATGGCGAAATAAAAACTGTAAGAATAATTACAGCGTTTTCCTTTTTTGTACAGACACTAAGAAATTGATCCGTGAACTCAGGAGGATTAAAATAAACATAAATAGACATAGTATGTCTACATTATTCAACCAAACATGCTTGAATGAATATATGCTACCTAAATATACATATTTAAAATTATATATATATATATATATATATATATATATATATATATGTTTGATATGCTTTGGTATATATGCTTGAGCGCAATCATCAAGTCATATGTTTTGTTTGTTGGTTCGACTATTTATATATGCTGGTAAATTATGTATTATATGTAGCAAGGTCATATATTTTCGATTTATTGTATTATCCTAACGGTAAGATTGGTAGTAATTTCAAATTATTCTAAAGGCTATTGAGTAGAAATAATTGTCGATCCGAGTAGGATTATTTACATTTACACATGCTCCGTCCCTGAGCACTTTTACCCATAAATATAGCATAGCTTAAAAGCAACATTTATATATATATATATATATATATATATATATATATATATATATATATATATATATATATATATATATATATATATAATAAATGTATTGAGCTCTCTTCTGTGGATCAGTTTTAATATTTTATATTACTAGGATTCACTTGGAGACAGAGAGAAAGAGAGAGAGAGAGATTGTTTAAAATGTGCTATATTTATAGGAGAAGAGTGTTTACTATCGGAAAAAAGCGTTTATAGTTATAGACAATGAATGCTGCATAGTGATTGCCAGTTTCCCGATGTGATCTGGGTCGGATGATCACTTTGAGGCGTGAAACTGATAGTCACCATAAAATATATTTATTCCCAGGCCCACAATCTATCTATCTATCTATCTATCTATCTATCTATCTATCTATCTATCTATCTATCTATCTCTTCACTTCTTAATCATTATATAATGATAATGACAGGTAAAAATAGTTCTTCATCTTTATTTTTCATTCACATGTTTTATATTTGCTTCTTTAAGCATGTTTTTAGAACCCTAGTCCACGTGTGTTTCATGTCGGTGTCATCAATAAACTCTTCTTTTTGCCCCCAGAAGTCAAGTGTCGGCAGTTTAACTATGTAGTTATTTCTATACGTCCACCTCTCACTCCCAAGCTTATTTACTTTTCTTTCTCCTTCTTTCTCTCTCTCTCCCTCTCCCTCTTATCTCCTCTCTCACACTCTTTATTTCCGCATTGCTCGTGAAACAGGTCGAAGTTCAAATATGTAACTTTTTTCTTTCCCTTTCTCTCTTTATGTGGGAGGGTTTCTCGCCTCTTGTTTTTCTTTTCATGACTATTTTCTTCCTCTAA